AATTTTAGTCAACAGTGCAATGCCTTTTATATAAATATGAGAATATGGTTGGAAAAGGCAATAAGGAGAGAAGAATTTATCTAATTAAACTACTTGAAATGGTTTGCTTATTTTTTTTTAATAATGTATATTTTTGCACAGCTTTTTAAAAATTTATGATTTAATAATGTATATTATTTTTTTTAAATTTATGGAAAGTAAGTATCTAATCTAGAAAAGTTAATGTTGTATGACTATACGAATTTTCACTAATTAATCATTTTTTCTTTATAAAAAAAGAAACTTTTTGATTGCTATGATGTAATTTAATTTGATATTTTGCGCAATATTTTTTATTATTTAAAACTAAAAATGATAATTTCCAAAAAAATATATATGCACTTATAACTTTGCAAGCGTGTACTTATAACTTTGCAAACATGTAATACCCTATCATTAATTCGACTGTCGATTAAATCGACTAACATAATTCGATTGAAATTAACTAATGCATTTTTGAAATCTACTAATTCGACTAAAAGCCGATATAGTATGGGAATAATTTATTTTTTAAAATAAATTGTAATAAAAATAATGAAGTAATTTATACTTGCTTTCTATATTACCATATCATTCCATATCATACCATATCATACCGTATAATTCCATATCATTTAAATAATAATAAAGCGAAACAATTTGAAATCTTTTGAAGGTAACTTTATTATTAACCTTATTGAAGAAAACATAAATATTTTTCAAGAAACTCAAATGAACTTAATTGACACACCATATATTCATCCTTTTGATTTTAAATTAATAAATGATCATTGTTCTTTTTCAGATTTACATATAAACATTAGAAGCATGCAGCAAATATTTTGAGAAAACGTCACAGCTCTTTCTGACACTTAGCATGATTTTAAAAATTCTCTTGAATTAAATTCTATTTTTTAATTTGCCATTTTATAAACTTATAAGTCAATCAAGAGGAAGTTGGGAAAAAGGTGGAGGGTTAGAGCTTTATGTATCAAAAAAGCATGATTTTAAGGTAAAAAAACATACTATGCTTCTCAGACGATAATTACGAAAGCCATTTTATTGAAATTATAAATAAAAACTTCGAAATGTTTTAATTAGATGCGTTTATCGTCCACCAAGTGATAAAATCAAATCATTTGGAACTTTTATAAAAAATACAATTGAAAAAATAAATAAAGAAAACAAAACTTTATACGTTATTAGAGACATAAACCTTGATGCTCTAACTTATTCAAAATTTCCAAAATAAAAACCCTTTTTTTAATATATTTCTTAAATTTAATGTCTTTTCAACAATTAATAAGCCAGCACGAGGGTCAAAAACTTCGGTAACGGCAATTGACAATATTTTCATTAATAATTACCTGGAAATGGAACTAGAAACAAGGATATTTATGACTGATATTAGCAATCGCTTTCCGATATTTATAAAGTAGTAAATTTAAAATCCATGTCTGATTGTGAACCAAAATCTATAAATTTGAAAAAAAACCAATCTTAAAACAAGCAATACTAATGAATTATCAATTAGACTAAAACAAGAAACGTGGTCCAACGTGTATAGATGTGAGGAAACTAATGAAGCTTACAATAATTTTTTAGATATATTTCTAGATTGCTTTAATGAAACATGTCCTCAAGAGGACATACAAATTATTACAAAAATAGTTGTTAATCCGTGGATGTATAAAACACTGATAAAATGCTCTAAAAAGAAGCAAAAACTCTATAATAAATTTCTAAAAAATAAAAACGCTGATAATGAAATAAATTACAAACACTATAAATATTTTTTCCAAAATCTTAATAAAAAAGTTAAAAATAAATACTACAGTAATGAAAAAAATAAATGTAAATCTAATAGTAAGAAAACATGGTCCATCATTAATGAGATAATGGGAAGGAAAAAAATAAATTCAACTTCTTAATTAAAAAGAATTAATATTATCAATATTCTGTAAAATACAAATATCCGAAGAATTTATCAAATATTTTATAAATATTGGTCCAAATCTTGCTAATAAAATAAGTCCAACATCTGATTCAATTAAAAACTACCTAAAAGAAATAAGGCTATCATGTACAATAAGGACTTCAACTATAAAAAATTAGAAGAAGCCTTTTCCTCTTTAAAAAAAAAAAAAGCACCAAGATTTGATGAAATAACTAGTGATTTAGTTATCTTTAAAAAAACTAATCTAAGCAGACCTCAGATCCATATACTTAAGCTCTCAATAACATCCCTGATGTCCTTATATTAGCAAAAGTAATCCCTATATTTAAATGTAATGAACATTCGGACATAACCAACTATAGACCTATATCAATACTTTCTGTTTTTTCAAAACTCTTCGAACGTGTAATTTATAATAGAGTCTACAATCAATTTACTAAAAACAAATTAATTTACCAAACCAGTTTGGATTTCAAAAAAACCTTTCAACAGAGCATACAATCATGGAATTAGTTAATCAAATAA